TGTAATTATGTCTAAAGCCACTAGAATTATTAAAGGGTTACATATTGTACACTGTAATTTTGTCTAAAGCCACTAGAATTACTAAAGGGTTACATATTGTACACTGTAATTATGTCTAAAGCCACTAGAATTACAAAAGAGTTACATATTGTACACTGTAATTATGTCTAAAGCCACTAGAATGATTAAAGGGTTACATATTGTACACTGTAATTTTGTCTAAAGCCACTAGAATTATTAAAGGGTTACATATTGTACACTGTAATTTTGTCTAAAGCCACTAGAATGATTAAAGGGTTACAAATTGTACACTGTAATTTTGTCTAAAGCCACTAGAATTACTAAAGGGTTACATATTGTACACTGTAATTATGTCTAAAGCCACTAGAATGATTAAAGGGTTACATATTGTACACTGTAATTTTGTCTAAAGCCACTAGAATTATTAAAGGGTTACATATTGTACACTGTAATTTTGTCCAAAGCCACTAGAATGATTAAAGGGTTACATATTGTACACTGTAATTTTGTCTAAAGCCACTAGAATTATTAAAGGGTTACATATTGTACACTGTAATTTTGTCTAAAGCCACTAGAATTATTAAAGGGTTACATATTGTACACTGTAATTATGTCTAAAGCCACTAGAATGATTAAAGGGTTACATATTGTACACTGTAATTTTGTCTAAAGCCACTAGAATTATTAAAGGGTTACATATTGTACACTGTAATTTTGTCTAAAGCCACTAGAATTATTAAAGGGTTACATATTGTACACTGTAATTTTGTCTAAAGCCACTAGAATTATTAAAGGGTTACATATTGTACACTGTAATTTTGTCTAAAGCCACTAGAATTATTAAAGGGTTACATATTGTACACTGTAATTATGTCTAAAGCCACTAGAATTATTAAAGGGTTACATATTGTACACTGTAATTATGTCTAAAGCCACTAGAATTACTAAAGGGTTACATATTGTACACTGTAATTTTGTCTAAAGCCACTAGAATTACTAAAGGGTTACATATTGTACACTGTAATTATGTCTAAAGCCACTAGAATTATTAAAGGGTTACATATTGTACACTGTAATTTTGTCTAAAGCCACTAGAATTATTAAAGGGTTACATATTGTACACTGTAATTTTGTCTAAAGCCGCTAGAATTATTAAAGGGTTACATATTAGAATTATTAAAGGGTTACATATTGTAATTAATGTCTAAAGCCACTAGAATTATTAAAGGGTTACATATTGTACACTGTAATTATGTCTAAAGCCACTAGAATTTAAAGGGTTACAAGGGTTACATATTATTAAAGGGTTACATGTACACTGTAATTTTGTCTAAAGCCACTAGAATTATTAAAGGGTTACATATTGTACACTGTAATTTTGTCTAAAGCCACTAGAATTATTAAAGGGTTACATATTGTACACTGTAATTATGTCTAAAGCCACTAGAATTATTAAAGGGTTACATGTTGTACACTGTAATTGTCTAAAGCCACTAGAATTAAAAGGGTTACATATTGTACACTGTAATTATGTCTAAAGCCACTAGAATTATTAAAGGGTTACATATTGTACACTGTAATTTTGTCTAAAGCCACTAGAATTATTAAAGGGTTACATATTATACACTGTAATTTTGTCTAAAGCCACTAGAATTACTAAAGGGTTACATATTGTACACTGTAATTATGTCTAAAGCCACTAGAATTACTAAAGGGTTACATATTGTACACTGTAATTTTGTCTAAAGCCACTAGAATTATTGTAAAGGGTTACATATTGTACACTGTAATTTTGTCTAAAGCCACTAGAATTACTAAAGGGTTACATATTGTACACTGTAATTATGTCTAAAGCCACTAGAATTACTAAAGGGTTACATATTGTACACTGTAATTATGTCTAAAGCCACTAGAATTACAAAAGGGTTACATATTGTACACTGTAATTTTGTCTAAAGCCACTAGAATTACTAAAGGGTTACATATTGTACACTGTAATTTTGTCTAAAGCCACTAGAATTATTAAAGGGTTACATATTGTACACTGTAATTTTGTCTAAAGCCACTAGAATTACTAAAGGGTTACATATTGTACACTGTAATTATGTCTAAAGCCACTAGAATTACTAAAGGGTTACATATTGTACACTGTAATTATGTCTAAAGCCACTAGAATTATTAAAGGGTTACATATTGTACACTGTAATTTTGTCTAAAGCCACTAGAATTATTAAAGGGTTACCTATTGTACACTGTATATGTCTAAAGCCACTAGAATTATTAAGCTGTTACATATTGTACACTGTAATTATGTCTAATTAGTCTAAAGCCACTAGAATTATTAAAGGGTTACATATTGTACACTGTAATTATGTCTAAAGCCACTAGAATTACTAAAGGGTTACATATTGTACACTGTAATTTTGTCTAAAGCCACTAGAATTACTAAAGGGTTACATATTGTACACTGTAATTATGTCTAAAGCCACTAGAATGATTAAAGGGTTACATATTGTACACTGTAATTTTGTCTAAAGCCACTAGAATTACTAAAGGGTTACATATTGTACACTGTAATTTTGTCTAAAGCCACTAGAATTACTAAAGGGTTACATATTGTACACTGTAATTATGTCTAAAGCCACTAGAATTACTAAAGGGTTACATATTGTACACTGTAATTATGTCTAAAGCCACTAGAATTACTAAAGGGTTACATATTGTACACTGTAATTATGTCTAAAGCCACTAGAATTATTAAAGGGTTACATATTGTACACTGTAATTTTGTCTAAAGCCACTAGAATTATTAAAGGGTTACATATTGTACACTGTAATTTTGTCTAAAGCCGCTAGAATTATTAAAGGGTTACATATTGTACACTGTAATTTTGTCTAAAGCCACTAGAATTATTAAAGGGTTACATATTGTACACTGTAATTTTGTCTAAAGCCACTAGAATTACTAAAGGGTTACATATTGTACACTGTAATTATGTCTAAAGCCACTAGAATTATTAGACTGTTACATATTGTACACTGTAATTTTGTCTAAAGCCACTAGAATTATTAAAGGGTTACATATTGTACACTGTAATTATGTCTAAAGCCACTAGAATTATTAAAGGGTTACATATTGTACACTGTAATTATGTCTAAAGCCACTAGAATTATTAAAGGGTTACATATTGTACACTGTAATTTTGTCTAAAGCCACTAGAATTAATAAAGGGTTACATATTGTACACTGTAATTTTGTCTAAATCAACTAGAATTACTAAAGTGTTACATATTGTAAAATGTAATTATGTCTAAATAAACTAGAATTACTAAAGGGTTACATATTGTACACTGTAATTATGTCTAAAGCCACTAGAATTATTAAAGGGTTACATATTGTACACTGTAATTATGTCTAAAGCCACTAGAATTACTAAAGGGTTACATATTGTACACTGTAATTATGTCTAAAGCCACTAGAATTACTAAAGGGTTACATATTGTACACTGTAATTTTGTCTAAAGCCACTAGAATTATTAAAGGGTTACATATTGTACACTGTAATTATGTCTAAAGCCACTAGAATTACTAAAGGGTTACATATTGTACACTGTAATTATGTCTAAAGCCACTAGAATTACTAAAGGGTTACATATTGTACACTGTAATTATGTCTAAAGCCACTAGAATTATTAAAGGGTTACATATTGTACACTGTAATTATGTCTAAAGCCGCTAGAATTACTAAAGGGTTAACAGTATAGAAACAGATTTGCGATTCTAGTACCAGGGTCCATTGCCATATTATAAAAATGACAGAAATGCATGGAAATCTACTGGAATGGAAAAGACTTTATGATTTTGATGCTTGAAAAGACTGGATATATTTGTTATGCTATATACATGTAGAGACATTTCTCCAACATCCAACATCAGCACCAACATCCAAACTAAGCCTTTCTGTAGATATTGATGTATTTTGCTATAACATGAATTCGGTTGGATTCATCAAACTCAAACTTCATACAAAGACTTCCTGCTCCAATTGGTTCCAGGTGTTGAAGAAATCTCTATCTCACTTGTCTTCCTTTAACAGTCACAATACACCTCTGTAAATGGCTTACATACTACCAATAGTACCTCAGGGTCAGGGTCACAATGACTTACTGTTGTACAGCAATCTCTACCAGAGTTGTCTTCCTTTAACAGTCACAATACATCTCTGTAAACGGCTCACAGGCTACCAATAGTTGACCTCACCGTCTTGGTCAAAGTTTGATGTCAGGCATCCCTGACAAGACTAACAAAGGGAAAACCTGTAGACTGTTTTGTATGCTATCGATCAACATTAACAAAAACATGCACATTCTCAGGGAGAAAATTTACAAATATTGTAGCCAAATTATCATCAGTTATCACGGATGTCACAATATATGAACATGTATCTTTAGAATATGTCGTCAGTTGAAATGCGAATATAAAGTACAAAATATATACCTGATATCATTCACAAAATTTATAGCCACATTAGTCAATGTTATTATGAACACACATGCATTTTTCAAGAATCTTGAAATGGTGTGAACAGTTTGCAGAGGTGTTATATAACATACCACAATGTACACTAGGAGAGATTGGGTCTGAAGATTAATGGCCCAAATTTTACTTATTTTGTGCTATAGATAGAAATACCTTCAACTAATACTCACACTTCATCTTGTCCTATGATTGAGAAGTAAAGCAATTTGAGTTGATGAGGTAGATATAAGTTATAATACAGCTTTACCTCTTGCATTTTGAATTAAGGATAAATTGTACTCCGAACAATGTATTATATAAGAAATATCTTGAAATCTAAGATACAAGTTCCAACTTTCTTCAGTTTAAGGGATTTTGTACTCTCATTTAGTAGTAATAGGGTACATAGATAATAATACAAAAAACATGTAATGTATTAATTTGAGCTTTGTTTTTCCAGAGACGGATGTGTATGGCTGTTTGATCACTTAAACACACATGAAGTTCCATTACTGATTTTCTCTGCTGGTATCGGGGATGTATTGGAGGAAGTGATTCGTATCCAAGCAACTTATCATAGCAACATGAAAGTTGTGTCAAACTACATGGCTTTTGATGAATATGTAAGTTTCCAAGCCACACTACATGTATGAAATATTCCTGCTATCACTGGTCTGAAATGGTTTAAATATCTTTATTCCCGACCATTTTATTGTGTCAAACTCTGTTTGGAATCATTGTGGTGTCTTACACAAATGTATATGTTTTGTACATATTTACCTCATAGCATAGTATCATGGTATGCACCTCATTCTATAACAGTCATTGGTGAAAGGGTCAAAGATCACATTTGGCAACTTTCTGCTATTTCATCAACAATGAGACTTGAATACACTTCAAAGTTAGGGCGTTCTTGTTATAGAGGCATGTATGTATTTCTTAATAAGTTATAATGACACACAGAAAGATCTATTATAACAATAGGATAAACACAGAAAGATCTATTATAACAATAGGATAAACACAGAAAGATCTATTATAACAATAGGATAAACACAGAAAGATCTGTTATAACAATAGGATAAACACAGAAAGATCTATTATAACAATAGGATAAACACAGAAAGATCTATTATAACAATAGGATAAACATTTACCCCTTGTATGAAATGTAGATAAGATTTTATAATTGATTCTTAGTGGTTCTATAAAGAATAATATGCAATGCAAGTTTATATTTTATTAGTATATAACTTTATGTAATGTTAATATAAAGAGGTACATTTCTGTTTGGTGTAGGACCGTATGGTTGGATTTCAAGGAGACATGATTCATGTTTACAACAAATGTGAGAATGCGATTCATGACTCTGATTACTTCCCGCGTCTGGAGAAACGGTCCAACATCCTGCTTCTTGGGGACGGGATCGGGGACCTGAACATGGCTGATGGGGTGACCAATGTAACAAACAAACTTACAATAGGATTTTTAAATGTGAAGGTAGGTACTTGTTTCTCTGTCTATGCTCACCAGCTAAAAATACATCATGAAGCCAAATGATAAAATGTCCAATCTTATCTTTCAAGAAAAGTTGAAATAAGTGTCAACTTTGAGAACTGCAGTAACCTGTTTCTGTTACATAATCCTCATTATATGATGCTGTGTCTTGTGTATTTGCCAAGCAGGCTTAGAAAAACGTGTACTTAATACATTTTGTTTTGTCATGGAGGATATTTCATAAATAATGTGGAAAATTATTTTGCTTAAAGGTATTTAGATAATTTTGTAAACAGGTACATAGATCTTACATGTTTGTTGTCTGGAAAATAAATTTTAATTCTTACTGGTTGAAATAGTATTTTCAACTTGTGAGACTGTATAGAAAAACTAAGAAACATTGAAGTTTGTTACATTCAAATGTAAATATGAAAAAATGAAGACATTTCTTTATCAATGTTTTTGATACATGAAGTTGTACTGAATTTTACATTTATTGCTTAAATCTGTTTCTACAGATTGAAGAGAGCTTGGAGCTGTATATGAGTAAATATGACATTGTGATATGTGATGACGAAACCATGGACGTAGTGAACTCAATTGTGGAGCTTGTAACCGCGAAGTAAATTATCAGCCCTACAGATTTAGGATAAGAAACATTCACCACATGTGTTTAATGAGTACTATACCTCTGTACCAAGACCTTTCAAAGGATAAACTTTTACATAATTTTTTTACTTTTATCCTTTTTTCACAGAGACATATGCAGATATCAGTAACATTGCCGAAAGTGTAGTTTTATTGCAAATTGTAAATACGAAAATGTATTTTTTGCTAACATAAAATGCACATTGCTATATATATTTTTAACCAGTAAAATGATAACAAGACCCATTTTGAGGAGAAACGAATGTCATGTATTTGTACTAAACGTACATATGATATATTTCCTGCATAATAATATCATCAATTTAAGTTTCAAGAAAATAATATCCTGTAAGAAATTTTAGATATTTGTTAATTTGATATTAATCACCAACTGCATGTACCCCACACTAAACCCAAGGAGTCAACAAAAAACACTTTGTTAAAGGTCATGGGATGGGCTTATCAAAAGACAAAAAAGTATCATCTCCTAATAACAGTAAATATGGGTGGGCTTATTACTAGATATCAACTTATTGCTTGAGAAATTCATTATAATGATAAAGTATTCAATATTTCCCATCCAAGTAGGTACAAAAAGAAAATTTCCTTGTAGAATGGGATATAGTTAGGAACAATTCAATGTGGTACTTATACTTCCAATGTGTCCTATGCGGTCTCCTGAATGTTTTTGTTGTCATCAAAGACCTAATGAGAAACTGAGATAACTAATGGGGTTTTAAAATCATATTACTTAAACAGTTGCGTTACAAACTCTACTAATAAATCTCTATATATGACATGTCTGTCATACAAGTCACATGTCGCACGAAAAACAAGGTTTTAGACTGTCTTGTCCTTGTTTTAAACTCTACTATTAAATCTTTATACATGACATGCCTGTCTTACAAGTCACACGAAAAAAAAGGTTTTAGACTGTCTTGTCCTTGATTGTGTCCTGAAGTGTGTTTAATTTTTTTTTTTGGTGCAGGGTTAAATGTCCTGATTGAGTCTGATGAATCAGATTATCTGTTTTTTTATCTCGTAATTACAATACTGTGGTTCAAGTAAGCTTGTGGCATTACAATAGTTCTGTATTTGGTATTTTTGTCTGTTAAAATTTCAACCTTTCATGGAAGATCAGAAAGCGCCTACTTAAACATCTAGCCACATGAAAGTAGATACAAGGGTTTTACTATTGTGTGAAATGTCTTGTTACTGACATGAAAAGTTGGTTGTTTTTAGAAAGGTACAGCAAAGACTGGGTGTATGCATTTGAAATCAGAACCTGTGATAGTCAAAGAAGTTATTGTACATTCTTTCATGGTACTGACTTAATTGAGAAGAGTGTCCCTGCTGTATCTCACACCATATTCTAAAGAAGTTGGGCTCCCCTTACAGACCAGGAATAGACACCTGACAATAGCTTCTTGAGAAAAAAAAGAATATGTGAGATTCACACTGCTTGTAATTGAATGTTTGCTGGAATTGTCACTGTGATCTCTACTGAATTGTGATACATTTATACTTAACTGAAATAAGCTATATGTTTTGATACTACACAAATCTGAATTTTTTCTCCACATGTTTTGAGGTAGACTTGTTAGTTCAATTTTCGTTAAGGAATTATATGTACAGGTTTGTTGTGTTTTCAGTCTCATTTCTATGTTGTTTTTTTTGTATTATGTTTTTTTTTTTTTTTACTTTTTTGTTAAAATACCCCAAATAGATAATCCCAGAAGATTGTTATATACATTTATATTAATTTTTTTTTATAAATGCCCTGTTCACATTATATATCCCTCAGTCAAGAAACACTTGGTCGGGTGGCGCAGTGTTAATGCACTCGCCTTTCACCTAGCCGACCGGGGTTCGATTCCCGGAACGGACGTGAAAAGGTAAGGGGTCACCTGCCCGACCACGTGGGTTTTCCCCGGGTACTCCGGTTTCCTCCCACAGTAAGACCCTTCGCGCGCTTACATCCGGGCCAACAAGAGTGATTAGTATAAGTTGACATAACTTGTTTCGCAATTGTTGTAAAATAAATAAAGTTTATTATAAGAAACACTGTCCTATGTACATCATATGTGTTCTATACCAGTATCAAATGGTCAGTATGGGACTAGAACCTCCAGTTCATTTCATTTATCCAGGAGATTTTAAAGATTAAAATCTTATTTTCATTTTAAAATTGATATGTTTTATTTTTACAGAGTTAAGCACAGTAGATGAGATTTTAGTAAGACATTGAAACAAAAATGTGATTGAATTTTATGAGCAAGTAATTTTTAATATGTGTTTTAAGTCTGTCGGACTGGAACAACAGCTTTCCAGTTTAGACCCTTTACTCTGAAAGATCATCATAAGTGTGCAAATCATATCAAATTGAATGATACTATATCAAATTAAAGAAATGTGATGATTTTCCGATACAAGATTTTTTCTTCTAAATTTTCTTCATTCTAACATTGACTCTTTTTACTATTTGATTAAAACTGGGTAAACCATATTCAAAGAACTAAATATACTGGCATTTAGCTGGAGAGTATACAATTTCTGAAGCCTGAATAACCACTGTGTTTATAGTTCATAGAATTGAATAAGTATTTTATAGTTAGAGTATTCTCCCCTTGATTTCCTCCCAGTGCTGAGCTGACCCAGATAAACACAAAACACCTGTTATAATTTGTCAAAAATGTGTTCACTTTCTCCTCGTATCTACATGTACAAGGTGAGTGAAGAAAGAAGTTTGTCACATGACCTATTGTGTATGAACAGGTTACTTTGGTTCTGTACTTATGGTTTTCCTAGAATTGTAGCCTTAACGGTATATGGGTGCTTATCTTTCATTTGCAATTATTTTTTGGTATTCTATTGTTTTTTCTTCTCCCTCATTTGCTGCTGCTTTGTATGTTTGGAAACATTACTAATAGAATGTATACAAGTAATCAATATTAAGAAACAACTTTGATGACAACTGCATTTTTTTTATGAATATATAGTTTAGGACGGCGTCATATACCTTCAATACTTGGAAGTTTTATTGCAAGGATGTTAAACAAAATTTTACTCTGTAGCATGACATGGAGAATTTCCTGTGTAACCATAAATAATTGAAATAATCAGATTTGTAAAGCAATGAGCGTTTCCGTCACTTTAGTATATTGCAAAAGGAAAATAAATAAATAAATAATAATAAAATGGTTCTGTTTAGTAAGAAGATTATTACTCATGATTGTGAGGAATAATGATGTGTAAATTTATTTTGAAAACAAAGTTTTTGGCAACATGTCATATAGAAAGATATTAATTATTTATTTACTTGACAAGTAATGATGATGCATGTACTTTCCTTAGTGAGAAATATGAGAATTGCAAACTGGATGTGATTTGAATGATTTAGAAATACAATGTTGTTCCTTATTTTGTAAGGAGTCAGAATAATGTTTGTTATTTAATGATGCAAAGTGTAGTACATACAATGTAATGTTATGATAGATAGTAGTTTGCTGTTATGGTGTGTGTGAGTTACTGTAATGATTTATGCCTAAATCACTAAATTGCTGGAATGTCATATTGTGATACACTTTGTGATAAAGTAGAGGGAAATAGTTATGGTGTAACTGTAGATGTTATTTTTATCTTTGTCTCTGATGAATGTGAATCTCTTGACAAGGACTTTTATATTCCACAACCAGTGACACCATTGATGAAATGTAATTAATCTATTCACCTTTATCTATTGTACAACAATTGCAAAAAAAGTTTCTGAGTCTTATATTCATTATGGCCTTATGTATTTTATGGCCCGGATGGAAGCACACAAGGGAGGTTACTCCGGGAGGAAACTTGAGTACCCAAGGAAAACCCATGTGGCCGGGCAGGTGATTTATACCTTTTCACATCTGTTTTAGGAATCAAACCTCAGACGTCAGGGTGACAAAGTTACCGGTTTGTCATCTGACGACCTAAAATGCATTGTTCTACATCCATTAATGAAAAGTAGGATTACAAATAAGAATATTGTCCATGTAAATCCTTGGTTTTTTGTTTTGCTGTTTACTCACAAAAACCTTTTTTTCATTTTTTCCGTTTACTCACAAAAACCTTTTTTTCATTTTTTCCGTTTACTCACAAAACACTTTTTAAAATTTTTTCCCCTTTTCATTATTTTACTTATATATTTACAATTTCATGTAATTTTCTATGTACATTACTTCTCTATCACTAAATACTTACGATTGGCAAATGTTGGCAATTTAATACGTGTACGTATACATATTCATCACTAGAACTCGGTTTTCATTGGTGGTCGCCATCGTTGCCATTTGTGAAAATGAGAGATCATTGGCAATTTTGAAATTAAATGGTGAAAATATGCAAGTTACGTGTTTTCCCTAACTTAATGATATGTCAAGACTCTAGAATGTATATTAATGTGGCTTGTTCTAATTCAATGGGTTTTTTTGTTGTTAAATTCCTTTTCAAATGAAAAAAAAAACTTTGAGAGAAAAATCAATTATGAAATTAGTTTCCAATTAATCAAAATGTTTCGGTGCAGAATTTCCTTATCTTAAAAACCTGTGATTCACAATCAAGATTTAACAGATTGTAACACAATGGTGTCCTTGTATCACAAAGTCTCATTACTGTACAATATTGTCACTGGTGTACCATTTGGTTGTTGTATATAATTCTTTAATTTTCTGCTGTCAGAGTTATGTTATATGCCCTGGTTAGAAATGCTTTGGTTGGATGTTTTGAAGTATAAATGTTCATTCTACTTTTGAAATCATTTGGAATGTTTTTAATTGTACACTCCTGTGCCTAATCAATTAAAAGAATAGAAATATTTGAGGGATGCTATCGTTCAGCTGTTGTGATTAAAGTCTTTGACAGCACTCAACACATTTTCTTTCTGCCATTTGACATTGCTGTGATGCAGCATGTTTTAAGATTATACAGTTGATTAGTAAGTGAATACTTTAATTTAGATTTTGATGAAGTAGAGCCGAAGGATGAAAGCACATAAAAGAACGAAGGATAGATCGAATGAAAAATTTAAACCTGATTACCGTTCACATGAGTAAGCTTTTGGGAAGAAACCTTTCAAAAATTGTTCTCATGCGTTCACTGATAAATTGTTTATTCATAATAAACAGGAAAAGTAAACAATCAAACCGTACATATTTATCGTGATACCATAGAACTGACTAAGATCTAGATAAGAAATCCTACTCGGGACACAGCGATTTATAGCGGAATTAATTATTAGGTGTTTATGTGTTAACAAATTCCATCGGCGACCTATCAGAGAAACTCTGCTTAGGAAAATATCACCAGTTAAACACCGACACATCACCAGTTAATCACCGACACATCACCAATTAAACAACGACATATCACCAGTTAATCACCGACACATCACCAATTAAACAACGACACATCACCAGTTAATCACCGACACATCACCAATTAAACAACGACACATCACCAGTTAATCACCGACACATCACGAATTAAACAACGACACATCACAAGTTAATCACCGACACATCACCAATTAAACAACGACACATCACCAATTAATCACCGACATATCATTAGTTAAACAACGACACATCACCAGTTAATCACCGACACATCACCAATTAATCACCGACACGTCAACAATTAAACACCAACACGTCAACAATTAAACAACGACACATCACCAGTTAATCACCGACACATCACCAATTAATCACCGACATATCATTAGTTAAACAACGACACATCACCAATTAAACAACGACACGTCACCAGTTAAACAACGACATATCACCAATTAAACAACGACACATCACCAATTAATCACCGACATGTCATTAGTTAAACAACGACATGTCACCAATCAAACAACGACACATCACCAATTAAACAACGACACATCACCAGTTAAACAACGACATATCATCAATTAAACAACGACACATCACCAGTTAAACAACGACACATCACCAGTTAAACAACGACACATCACCAATTAAACAACGACACATCACCAATTAAACAACGACACATCACCAATTAATCACCGACATATCATTAGTTAAACAACGACATGTCACCAATCAAACAACGACACATCACCAATTAAACAACGACACATCACCAATTAATCACCGACATATCATTAGTTAAACAACGACATGTCACAACGACACATCACCAATTAAACAACGACACGTCACCAGTTAAACAACGACATATCATTAGTTAAACAACGATATATCATGTACGGTTTGGTAAAAAGGGTTAGCTAATATTGCGGATTGAAAATTCAGCGGAATATTCGTAAAGTTATTACTAAATAGCGATCACGTGAACATTAACATTGATCAGTGATTATAAAGGTAATTTTTAATTAAGTTTTCGAAATAACACAGGACCTGTAATAATTAGTCTTATAGTATATAATGTCACACCTCAGAAAGTGGCGACTAGTGGTGCCGCGGGCGACAAAATTTTACTTGTATACGTGTATATAAGTGACAGGTCCGGATCCGTACCGGCTGGGTCGCCCGTGTAACAAACACAACACTTAAGATTTACCTGAGCATATATCTTCTGTGTACAAGATGAATGAAAAATGAAAGTATTACAAAAGTGAAGAAAGTTAAGTTTCCTTTCAGAAGGTATCAGACGAGGTTTTAAATGATTCATTGCTTTGATATAAAGAGACGTCCATTTAATTTTTACATATTATAGGTGTGTCCGTACACTAAGGCTGGTCATGTGTGGCTCTTTGTAAACAAAACATTTAAAATAACCAATGTATCCAACTATTCATTGTGTATCTGATATATCTACAGGTGTCCAACCTATATATTAGTGGCTTAATTAGGAAATATACTTAGTTGTATTCTTACATATCTATAGAATAGATAAACTCTATCCCACACTTATTTTTAAGTCATTTCTAGATTTATATCGATCACGACAGAATAGCACATTTGTGCATACATCGTGCTCACATCATGTAACGTTGTGCGATCTCACAACTGTAGTTATACAACGATATGTCACCAGGTTACTTACATTGTTGAGTCGTTGTCTGTCTCTGTTTCGCCAAGACGGAAGGCGCAAGTCAAAGCAAAACATATAATATACGAGTCTATCGCACTTACATACTTCATAAAATGTACTCATAGTTTAATGATTGAATTTCTGGTTGGCAATATCTTTGTCGAGTTTGGTGGTAAGCCGAGGCTGAACTTTTTGAAGAGCTTATCAAAACAGGTCCCAATTTCTTTTTTCAGATTTGTTGAAGACGTCTTGGGTTTAAATAGCATGAAATTTATTGGCCATGCCCGTCATATATAACCAACAAAATTGAAAATCGTAGACATGACAGACCCTTCTACATCAGCCGCTTATTTCGATCATTTCCGACAACGAAACCATTTTTTTGCCAATTTCAATGTCGTCATAATGATCTCGAACGTCAGTTCCCATTATCATGATTTCCTTGCAAGAAGTCGTCAAATGACGGACAAACTCGAAACACAAAGAATTAAGAAATAAAAGATGCAGGTTGATGGAAATTTTGGGGAAATTTTACACGCATCAAGATGATCTCATTGATAAATATTCTATTTCTTTGTGTGACATGAAGCTGGACGTACTTGTTCCCGCTAGTTTGTTTGTTTGTTCCGTTGGTGAATTTGAGAACGTGACATTACTTATTTAGATTGGCCTAGGTTTACAGGGCGGGGGCATCAGAAGACGCTTACTCTTGCGGAACACCTTATCTTGTATTCCTTGTACCTTTCCGGGAGTTGCTGTGTCGATCTTCTGTTCATAATTTGCACCAGGTTTGTTTTATTTGATTTTGGATTATAATAAGATTTACATGTCTTTTTTCTTGATGCTTTTAATAAACACAGACTGAATATTGAAATCACTTTGTAATCAAACATAATAAACAAAATACTATTTTTATGTCTTTGCTTGGAATTTCAATCCCTGTATGTGAGCAGGAAATAAGTCATTTAATGAGCCTGCTCTCTAACGAGGATGGCCGATAATTAAGCTGCACGATTAGGAATATCATTTAATTTATCATAGAGATCATGTCCTTTCCTGATAGTAGCAATACAGCTTTCCCAATCAGGTGTTGACAGCACTGTATGTTTATTGTTATCATTTTTGAAAACATCAAAGCAAACAATGCAAGAAAAAAACTGACATGTTAAGACGATGGTACTGATTAAATTAATTCTTAGATCGAAACCGATTAAACGAGGGCAGGATATGATTACGTAATACAATTACACGGATACCATTAAACGATTGAGAACCATTGAGATATGTTTATGCCAATGAAACAAACAGGCGTGGTAATAGGCATCTAACATTTCTATTTTCATATTTCGAGACGAGATAATGATATCGTCGTGGTCAATGACCAGCATCACTCGAAATCGTATCCATATCAGCTGTTGGAATCTTACGAGGAAACCAAGGACAATCTCTTGGATACTGAATCAACTGCGACATGAAACACCATATCTAGAAATGAAAAACTCGAAAAGGGGATATCAAATCATCACGCATTCACAGTGCAACGCTGTTACAGTTGATTACTTTTCAAGTAAACATGGAAGTGACAGCTGATGACGAACTTGTTTTGTTCTAGGTTTTTAAAATTCTGACGGTAAACATGCTGGGTTTGTTTTATATATAAACTGATTCTGGAAATGTTTTCATAATACAAGGCCAAAATTTATTTTGATGAGTCGTTTTTTACGATGTTTAAATTTGTCTTATGATTTTTTAATGTTGGTAAAAACCAGAGTGTTCTTACCATGGCGATTTGTTTTTAAAATCTGGTGATTTTCGAGGAGCAAATTGTTTCGCTATTTCGAACATGGACAAAAAGATACCGTATTTTTTTTCAAATAAACTTCCCATTTCGTGTGAAGACTTGATTTCGCGCATATATGTAGTTCAATGGGTCTACGTAGCTAACTTAGATGATTCATGAACACATGAATACGTAGTTTAGAGTATACATGAAATAAGCGAAAATAAATCCCCACTAAAATGAATGATCTTACAGAATATCGACATCACACTACACTTTAATCTTTCATTGCACTCGTATTATTTCAATCTTCTAGTAAATCTGCGAAAATTTACACCACTGCCAGATAAAAATGTACAGAACATCTATATCCGTAATGTCACACAGGTACTATGAACGGTTTAGAGGTGTTGTAATTTACTGTGTTGTGTTGGAATCTAATTAATAAGTGTTTGGTTTTAGGTTTAAACATATTTATTGTCAAATACAGACAGTGGATTAGGCACAAGTTATTACAACTTATCAACGCCTTCTCCAAAGATACATGACATATGACAATACAAAACAATATGACAATATGTAGTACAATATTAATAATACAATACAATACTGATAGTACAAATGTTTATATATATTAACTCAAAATCTGTTGCTGGTTTTAATAAAATTTTGCACATGTCTAAAAATGGTTGAATTAAGGTCCACAGAAAAAATACAATTACCATATAAAAGAAGTTCAATATCAAAGGGAACATTCAAAATATTTAGATTATGTACCAAAATACGCCTTTCAATTGAGAACAGGGGACATTCAATAATGTTTGGTACTTTGTTTACACGCTGTTCTTATTTATATCTGATATAACATATCTCTAATGTAACCATGTTACTTTTTATGTTTTCAAAATGTTTAACATGGGTATTATATATAAGTACATATATATTTTAAAGATTATTGAGTAGCCGTAATTTACCACAAAACTATCAGCGGACTGGTCTTGTGTTAGCGTACATTTTATGGTTCAATTAACCACTTTCAGTTTTAGAGTGAAAAATAC